TCGGAGGGAAGAAGTATGGACAGGGAAAAAGCCAAGCTTGAAGCATTTACGAGTTTTCGGTTCAAGCGTGATGGTCCATGTTCCGAAGATGAAGCGTAAAAAGTTCGATCCAAAGGCGGAGAAAGGCGTGTTTATTGGATATTGCGAAGATACCAAGGGCTATCGTGTATACGATCCGGAGCGAAACGATTTCATAACCAGTCGAGATGTAATCGTGATCAGCGAAAGCATTCCAAAGTCCGTTGCAGCTTGTGAACATGATTCGAAATCAGTCGAATTCATGGAACTGTTCACAGAAGAAGTCGTAGTGCCTATCGAATGTTCGGATGAGAACGAAGTCAGCTCTGACGACGAAGAAGAATCAGCGAACAGCAACTCAAGCACATCTTGTGACGATTTCGAAGATGCCTGCAACGAACCTGCGCTCCCACCGCAACAAACAAGACCAGTTGAAGAAAGTCAACAAGGGTTGAGGCGCAGCGGTCGGGAGCGCGTATACCCAGGCAAGTATGATGATTTTTTTTAGTTATGGTTCCTTTTCTGGTGATGATCGATGTTTCCATGGAGAACGATCCACAATCCTACGACGAGGTCATGCAGCGACCTGATCGAAAGCTGTGGATACAAGCGATGAAGGAAGAAATCGCATCGTTGGACCAGAATCAGACGTGGATGTTAACCGATCTATCTGAAGGACGTAAGGCAATGGACCCGACGGCAACATACAGCGATACAAAGCGAGACTCGTGGTGAAGGGTTGCTCGCAGAAACCAGGAATCGACTATGAAGATGTATATTCTCCGGTAGTACGTTATTCAACAATTCGCTACCTCATGGCAGTGGCAGTGAAGTTTGATTTTGATGTGGACCAGATGGTCACTGCGTTCCTGCAGGGTAAGCTAGGCGATGAAGAATTGTACATGATCCAGCCGGAAGGATTCGATAAGGTCAACGGCAAGGTGTGCAGACTCAAGCAGTCGAGCCGTGTATGGAACGGAAAACTGGATGCCGTATTGCGAGAATTCGGACTGCAACGATCACAAGTAGATACGTGCCTGTACTGGATCCTGGATGGTGACATTATGCTATTTGTGACGATATACGTAGATGACCTGCTGATATTTACAAACAACCTGGCGTTGAAGAAGAAACTGAAGAAATTTTTGATGAAGGAGTTCCAAATGAAAGACTTGGGTGAAGCTTCACACTGCCTGGGAATTCGAATTGTCAGAGATCGAGTGCAAGCACATCTTTCGTTGGACCAACAATCTTATATTCAAGAGATAATCCAGCGCTTTGGGATGACGGACGCTACTCCTGTAGCAACACCAGCAGATCCAAGTCTGAGACTAGATAAATCGATGGCTCCCAAAACGGCTGAGGAGGCAGAACAGATGTCAAGAGTACCCTCCAAGGAAGCAGTTGGCTGTTTGTCATATGTAGCGCAAACTAGTCGACCAGATATTGCGTACGCTGTGAATGCTGTGAGTCAATTCTCTGCCAACTCTGGTAGACAACATTGGGAAGCAACCAAGCGTATAATACGATACCTGAAGGGAACAGCGCAGAAAAGGTTGCTGTACACTAAGGACGATACTGGAGGCCTTCAAGGGTATAGCGATGCCGATTGGGGAGTAGATCCTGATGACAGAAGATCGACAACAGGTTACTTGTTCACCATGCAAGGGGCTGCCATAACCTGGAATGTGAAAAAGCAACCAACCGTAGCCTTTTCATCACGCGAGGCGGAATTCATGGCACTTTCGCGGGCCATTCAAGAGGCGATGTGGTGGAAGAATCTGCGTTCGGAGCTAACAGAAGTTGAAGCAATGCCAATCTACTGCGATAATCAGTCGGCAATCAGCATCGCGAACAATGGTTCGTATAATCCAAGAACAAAGCATGTTAGTATTCGCTACCAGTTTGTACACGAAGCATTGGAGCAGCAAACAGTGAAGCTCGAATACATCTCGACAGCAAACCAACCTGCGGATGGATTCACGAAACCGATGACCCTTTTGAAGCAAGCTAAGTTACGCCAATTCTTAGGCATCACGGATTAGGGAGGAGTAAAAACCAACTAACCCGCGATTGTGTTACGTTAGCAAGTATTTAGAGAATAAACGTTCATTCCACTGCAAGAGATATAATTTTTGCAATACTTATTTAAGTTTTTAACATTTTTTTTTTAATTTTTACTCAAAATTACTAAAAAAATATTTCCGTGTATATTTTTCCCAGAAAGGCTTCACATTTCTCAACAAATTTGTCTTAGATCTCATTTCGATCAGAAGTGATGTTTTCGTGCTACAATTTATAGAAAAATGTCAAAGACGCCATTTTGGAAAAAAAAAGATCCAACATGGCCGCATTTTTGCAAAAATGTGGATGATTGCCAAAATAATTTTGCCAAGTTCCATGCAAATCAGAGAAGGTCGAGCCAAAAATTGTTTTTTTTTTCTATTTGACCTGGAACTGCTTAAAATTCAAAATATTATAAATTGTTAATAATAGGCACACCAAAGTTGTCACAATTTGTTTATTTATAGCTCCCTCCTAGTAGGTAAATGCAGAACCGGACCGCAGAAATCGCATTTTATTTAATGTTATTCAAGTTTCGAAAACGGTCAAACTTGGCATCATCCTCGGGATTTTGTGATCGGATGAAGACCAGCACCGAAAAACACAATCAACAAGAAGCTTTAGAACATTTAATATTCTTCTAGGCTATTAGCATTAGCATATTGTCAAGCGACAGAGATTGACACACACAACGCTGATTCAATTTTGGCCCATTCCACAGACAAATAGACGTGACTCTTTGAAAAAGTTTTTCTTGAAAACATAGTATCTCCAATCAGTAACGACACCTCTCGGGCTTCTCGCGGAAAACATACTTGCTCGCTAACTCGCAAACAATATTGCATAAAAGTTCTATAGAATGTATGGAAACGTCAAAGTGATCCGATGCCAGCGCTGCGGCGAGTTGTTCGCGGTTCTGATAATATTCAAATCAACCGTTAAATGCGTGAACGAAGATACACAATGAAGCGTTACGTCTGTTTGTCTGTGCCCATTCGTTTTGTTCTGCGCTTTTCAAAAAAGAGACAACTGGTTTTTGCACAACTTAGAACATTTAGCAGAGGCAAGAAGAAATGTAGAAAAACGGAATTCAGGAACTTGTTTTGGAAAAAAAGAAACGGTAAACGAACAGAGCTTTCCTGAATTTCTAAACCGGATGTTTTGATTCGAAATTTCATCTCTTCAAGCCAATTGAATTCAACTGAGTTGATCAATGACTTGCCTTGTCTAAACTCAGTTTAACTCTTTATCATTCTTGCATTCTTGGATTGATTTTTGTTGGACACAACTGGATCGAGCAGACGCACCAATTTACTCGAAGGTTAAATTTTGTCAGACGCAATTAGGTGTAACATCTATTAAAAGACGCACATAACCATTAGCCGCTTAGATTTTGCAACAACTAACAGCGTCTAGCGTCTAAAGAAATGGATGTTTATATCAGTTCAACTCAGGAATGTGACTACACCCAGTGGGAGCTGAATTTGAGAAACTTTTGCTCTACTTGCAAAAATGCAACGCAATTCTATTTGAAATTTTAAATGAACAACCATCCTCAAACTACACCGAGTAATTTAGTTGAATTGAAACTAGCGAAGTCAGTCATACATATTAATAAGTTTTTGTTGTAAATAAATATTTTCCTGAATTTGAATTAAATTCACTGAGATTCCCTGATTTTCCAGGTTTTTTTTCAGGTAGTCGACACCCTGAGAAATATCAAACTATGAATTCAAGCTAAAATTAAAAAAATAGTGATATCAAAATATATTTTGAATATGATTTCAAAAACACAATTTGTTATCATTTTGATATCCGACTTTGCTCAAGTATCTTTTTTATACGAAAAACGCTTTGTTTTGACTTCCCCAATTGGCGTTCCTAAAATTCCTCAGCATTTAATCAAGATTACTACAAACCAACCGAAAGGCGCCTTCCTCTTCCGGGCAGATTGATGCCTTTAGGTTATTATTTCTGTTGCTGCTGCTATTGCTAAAGATAACCGTATCATTAACCATTAATCATCAGCAAGATGACTAATTGTATAGTAGACAGCATTCTAGCTCTTCAAACCAAGACCGATACAACTTGTTTATATGCCAACGAAACTATGTAATCCATTCAGTCACATTGCATAACAGATATAAGTTATGATTTAGTGATAGGTCCATCATAGAAAGAGACTCATAATAGATTCCATCCGCCATGGTCCGATCCGGAACGACTTAAGCTATCCCGAAGTCGTAATTGACACCGCGCAATTGACCTTGACCTTGACCTATTTGTGTATATCTATTTTTCTCAAGATGAATCGATCTATCTATGAATTGATCTATTATTGAATTTATCTATCCATCGTCCATCTATGTCTCTATCGAGTTGATCTATCTAGCCATCTACCCGATGATCTTTCTATCCTATCCATCTATCGCTCTATTTATCTATGCCTTCATTACCTTTAAATCATGTCATGCCATTTTCGAGAAATATTATTACTCATGAACTTGAACCACTGAACAATCGACACTCAACCCGTAACAACGCTCAGCATGACCTCCCGCAGCCAAGACCACATTTCAACCGGTTTTCACCGGTTGGATGCTGCCATAAATTTCACACCTGAAACGGCCACCACCGACCCTTATCCCAAAATAATAAACTAGCAGACACTTTTTTTTTTTCAAAACGAAAATCAAACTCGAAAATTGAACCATCTCCATTGGATTAGCATAACATAACATGACGTATTGATTTAAGTTCCTGTGGCGCGATCGTTTTTTATCTCATAAATCGAAACCCCGAAGAAGAAGCTCTATGTACGATGGAACCGGTTTTTCTCGCTGCCAATTCTATCCCTAAAAAAAATACAATCGAAACCAGTTTTTCAAATTCTTCTTCTTCTTCTTCTTTTCCCGCAGGCGGCTGGCGGATGCTACCGGGCAACAATAACCCCTACTGGGACCTGCGGGAGAACCTGCAGAAGGTGCAACCCAAGTACGGTGCCACGCCGTTCTTCAAGCTGGGAATCGACACCCGGAATGCACCGCCGTACGACTACATCATCACCGTCAGCGAGGGCGATCTGGGCCTGCCGAGCAACGAGTTCTACACCCTGGAGGAGAAGCACCCGGTAAGGATTTTCTACTTGGGAGAATTCTATAATTTTGCAACCTGTTCTTTCCGCGACTAGATCATTCAAGCGTATCAAACCTACCTGCGGGACATTCTGGCCCACCTGGTGGCGGCGTCGACGATCAAGTCGCAGGACTACGCCAGGATGATCTACAACTACGAGCGGAGGATCGCGTTGGACGTGATGAGCGTCCTGCGGGAGGGCGGCGAAAATGCAACGCAACCGCAGATACGGACCCTGCAGCAGCTGGCGGACGAGGCTCCTTCGGTGAGTATTTCCTGCCCTTCTTGCGCTCGATTCGGAATAAAAAAAAACCTCAATTTTTCGAACCCTTGTAGCTCCCGATCCTGCAAACGGCTCAGGCCATGTTCAAAAAGAAGATCACGGAAAATACCCAAGTGCTGGTGTACAGTCCGGCGGCGCTGAAGATGATCTCCCAGATCATCACCACGACCGACAGGGAAATCCTGAATAACTTCGTAATGTGGTCCCTGATCCGGCACTTCGTCCCGTACATGGCCCGCAACTTCCGGCTCTCGATGCAGGAGTTCGAGAAGGTCCTGTACGGTGTCCAGTCGAAGCAGCCGATCTGGCACTTTTGCACCAAGGTCGTACAGCAGTGGATGCCCTATGGGCTGGAAGCGCTGCGCGAAAATCCTGATATGATCGTACATGACCGCAGCGAGCGGGAGTACTCCGAGCATCATCCGGTGATAGACTCGTTGGATCCGTACCAAAGTTCCCAGCTGGTGCACGACGATCGCCTTCGGTACGATGACGAACTGGTCAAAATGATCTTCTACCACATCCGGGACGAGTACAAATCAGCGGTGATCAATTCCAACTGGATCAACGAAAAGCTGACCAAATTCATTACGGACAAGCTGTCGATGATGCGGGTGCAGATCGGTATCCCGGGAGATTTGGTCAAGAGCGAGAAGCAAGTCAACGAGTTCTACAACGACTGGGTGCTGGACAATCTGCTCTTTGTGGACAACGTTGCGAGTCATTGGGTGTTCGCCAAGCGGCGAATGGATCGAATGCTGGATAACATGACGGAGAGTGAGAGGTTAGTTTCCGGGGTAATTTTTACAAGAAATTCAAACAAACTTTAATCCTTGCAAAATTGCAGAATCGTAACGGAACTCTACCCACCGATCAGTTTCGGAGCTCGCCGAGCTCCCGTTCCGGATCTCAAATACTCGATCGCCCTGAATATGGTCATCATTTCCAGGCAGAAGACTCAGGAACCCTACTTCCACCACAAATACCCATTGTAAGCGCTGGCGTAACTTACCATAACCTTCAAAGTTGACCATTTCCGATTTTTCTTTTCCAAGATCCCTAAACTTTGCCCGCCTTGGTGCAGACATCTCGCTGGTACTGCACGACGCCCTCAACACCCTGGCAGAACAGTTCAAAAACACCGGGGCCAGCCAACCGAAACACGTTCTGGTAAACGTCTTTGACGACGAAGCTCAAAAGTGTATGTCCAAGTAGGTGTTCAACACTTTCCTGAATCCGTACCGAATTTTAACCACGCACTACTTTCAGAACCCTCCCCTCGTCGATCAACCCTTCGCGAATCTCAAACTCCAGCAAGTTGAATCTCTACCTGGAGCTGGCCGCCGGCAGTATGCTCTCGCAGGCCTTCGGCACCCTGCTGGACAAGATCGATCGAAACGAGCGGATATTCGAAAACGAAATATCCGAGCGGACCACCTACGAGCTGCTGGGGCTCCGGAATGGCGCGCGAAGGCAGCCCGGCCTGCGGCAGTACGACGAACAGCAGCTGTTCACGTTGGCGTACCTGCAGAAGCACTGCGCCGTGCCGGACAGCGGTGCCGTCCGGCTCACCAAGCTGCTGATCGACAGTGACATTCCCGAGACGGAGAAGTGAGTATACCGATTAGCGTAGGGATGGGTGACATTCTCAGATTTTATGAAGGAGTGCGAGAGTTTTAGGAATTCGATCTGACAGCGTTTATTGAACTTGAACTGTTCGCTGACCATATATTGGCCGTGCTGCCGCACAGTCTAGCAGGTAAACAATAATGACGCTCTGGGATTGCTTCCAATTAACGGACATCGATTGCCATCCATTGACGGCAATCGAATGTGCAGGAAGGCAGCTTCCACTCCTGCGTAGAATATCGCACCCATTCAACACACACATGGGCCGGGACCAACGGCTTTACTTCCCTTCCGAAGGAAGCCGTGACCAGAGATTTTCATCAGAAAAATCCCACCGACCTCGGCTGGGATTGAACCCAGTCCCATTGGGGTGAGAAAGCAGTCACGCTTACCACTACACCACCGGCATCGGCTTACAACAATAGAACCTACTTACCTTACCTTACCAATCAGGCTAAGGCCTTGTTATCCTCTGCTGTCCGAAGAAGTCGTCTCCACTCTACTCGATCCATGGCCACAGTTCGCCGGCCTCGTAGTCTGCGAAGGGTCCGCAGGTCACCTTCCACTTGGTCGATCCACCTTGCCCGCTGCGCGCCTCTTCTTGTTCCTGTTGGGTCGCTTTCTAGAACCATTTTCACTGGGTCGTCATGCGGCATTCTTACGACGTGCCCAGCCCACCGTAGTCGCCCAATTTTTGCAATGTGGACGATGGATGGTTCTCCCAGCAGCTGGTGTAATTCGTGGTTCATTCGCCTTCTCCACGTTCCGTTATCCATCTGCACTCCACCGTTCGAAAACACCAAGGGCGCGTTGGTCCTCCACGAGCATAGACCATGTCTCGTGGCCGTAGAGGACCACAATAGAACCTACTGTACACAAATCGGAATAAGTTCACCCATCCACGTCCCTATGGTAACTTTGCGCGGGTGGTTCTGTACGTGCTGATCCGTGTTTGCAACATGCCCCCGACCGTATTGCTTCAAATGCCCTTAAGCTGTACTTCTTTGTCTGGCTACATCCAGGATAGCGGCCTTCGCCGCCGGTCGGCGATTGATTCCCGCTGAGGTCTGCACATCCGCGCTGCGGACTAGTCCATCTCGCCTAGGATACTCCCGAGTGACTCTTCCTATGATCCAGCTGTTCCTTACACTCTCGTTCACAACGACCACCAAATCTCCGATGTTGATTGAAGTGACCTCTCCAAACTACTTTGGTTGTCGGGAGATGACAGGCAAGTATTCCCTGATCCACCGCATCCAAAATCGATGCAGCATTATCTGAACCTGTTTCTAGTTCAACCGCAATGTCATGTTCTCCTCGATTGGCCGAACCGCCGGCTGGACCACTCCGCTTGAACTCAACAGTTCGGTGTCAAGGTTGCGCATGCTTCGCTATCGATTGGTAGATAGGTTAAGGGTCGCGAGTTCACCATGGATTCCACCTTTGCAAGAGCGATTACCAAGGCTTCCTCATTCGGATTCCTTGACAACTCCATGTATGCCTCCCATATGGGGCGCGTAAGGAGTGTTGAGCTTCCACTACGTGTCTACGTTCGTGAACGTCCCTGCTAGATCCCGATTGATGGCACCGATCTGCTACTGGTAATTGGTTCCTTGATGTGAGTAGATTTCCTGTGGTGCACTTCGGCGGGCGATGAACCTACGTATTGTCATCTTGCAGGATCCGTAGGCAGGTAACGAGCGCTACCCACCTTTTGACACCACCAGGTCCAAAGCGAACAGTGATCGGACCGAAATAGTCCAGTCCCGTAAATGTGAAGGCCCTAACATACAGCGTAAGGCGAGCCGAAGGCAGTGAAGCCATCGGTAGAACTTGTGGTTTCGATTTGTAGACTCTACACCAGTTACAGCAACTTGTCACCTTCTTGGCGACTGTTCGCAGTTCTTAGACGTGGAACTTCTGCCTCATTTCGTTCACCACCGTTTCGTTGCTTGCGTGTCCATCCTTCCTGTGATACCAGTTAATCACTAAGTGATCCTTCGGCAAGATCACGGGAAACTTGGCTTAATCTGAAACACACTCCGCGGCAGCGATGTGTGATCCCATACGCTCTTCGGATTCGCCTACGTTCCTCTTGCTGCACTTTGTAATTTTTCCACAGAATGCTGCATTCGTCCGGGTATTCACTCGCTTGGATCAGCTTAAGCACGGTCGACTCCGCTAGTTTACACTCCTCACTGCTCAAGGATACTTCTCCGTTCTTCTTTGATTCGTCCCTGTGCTTCTGCCTGCAGCCAAACCGTAGAACGAATGCTACTGTACGGGTTAACCTTTCCCACTTTGCAAACCGTTCGAACTCGATGATTGGCTGCGTCGGTAACTCGACTGCTTCCTCAAGCCAACTACACTCCGGGTTATACAGAAACTCTGGAGCCTTGAACCACTTGCTTTGTTCGTCGAAACATGGTCCATGCCCCACTTGGTGGCCTTGTCGGCTACGTTCATCCTCGTGGGCACCTTCTTTCCATCGCTGACCTCCGTTTCATCCTGAATTTCTGACAGTCGTCAGTTCAAGACCGTTGAAGCATCGCTCCACAATACTTTGCGCTTGACATGCCACGTGTGGTTTGCTACGATGGACTTCATAAGCCGTGTTCCAATTACGGCTGCTTCTAGCTCTAACCTTGGCACTGAAAGTAACTTAATCGGCGCCACCTAGGGTTTTGCAGTCACGAGACTGCAGTGTATTTTACCACCATCTACTATCCGGAAGAAGGCTGCGGCGGCGTATGCAGTACTGCTAGCACCAACGAAAACGTGCTCCAGCGCTGTAGCTGGGAAAGTAGCATCAAAGTAATTTGACATACTGCTCCCATCGGGGTACGATATCTGCAGGTAGCGGCTCATCCCAGCCAATTTCGGATCGCCACGCTTCCTGAACTATCGTCTTTCCATGAACTACGAAGGGAGCGGTCATCCCTAATGACTACGCTCAGGAGTTGACGTTTGGTCGGCACAACGGATCCATCCATTAGACGTTGCAGATCTTCCCGGAAAGTAATCGATAATACGAAGACATCCTCTTGTAGTCGCCACACCATCCCCAATACCCGTTCCAGGTTGCTACCCTTGTCCATGGTGAAACTCCTCACCGACTTCGTGTTCTTCTCCCCAATCCGCTGCAGCACCTCTGGAGAGTTCGACATCCAATGCCGAATAAGGAATTCTGCTTTTCCGTGCACTTCCTTAACGTCCAATGCCAGCTGAACTGCTTCTTCGACAGAATTAACGCTTTCAAGGTAATGGTCCACATGGTGATTTTTCTTTATCGCTTCCGACGCCTTCGGGAACTCCGAAGCATACTCCTCCGCATTCATCAGGTTCTTCACAAATTCATCGTTGAACTAGGAGAACACGTTGATCCAGAAATAGCGACGTCCATGACGTATACTTAAAACGGATCGGATGGACTGTCCCGCCACAGAAACCACTGAGCTGTACGATCTTTGGAGTCTGGTGAGTACTTGATGGAACATTTCCACTATGCCTCCGCTGATGGCGGTTTCCTTCTGTCGATAACGGCATAAGACTGCTTGCAACGATGTCAACGGGTCAGGTCCTTTTAGAAGAACGGAGTTCAAGGAAACGTCTTCCACCGATGCAGTGGCATCCCAGACGACCTTGACTTTATCGAGCTTTTTGGGATTCACTACGACACCCAGAGGTAGAAACCACGTCCGCTTCGGATCCATCTCATCCAGTTCCCGTGGAGTTGCCTTGTGTGCGTAGCCCTTGGATACTTAGTCCACGATTTGCTGCCTAACGTTGTCGTACAAGGTTGGTGATTTATGAAGACGACGTTCTAAACACTTCAGTCTCTGTTCGGCCATGGACCTGCTGTTGCGAAACTCAACGTTGTGTCACCGAAACCCCAACGCTCCCCATAGAGAAGAAACTAGTGAAGAGTTGTCACGTCGTTGTCTTGGGTCTTGGTATGAATATGAAGAACTCGCTGCGATAAACTACTGACATCATTTCCAGAGTGACCATATAGAACCCTAGCCTAGTAGCCTAGTTTTGGTGACTACTGGCTCGTGTTCACGCCCCTTCCGCAACTTTAGCGTTGTCTTCAACCTTGTGTTGTCCAAACCTATCAGGATATCTGTATCAGCGTCGTTGTAGCTTCGAACAGGTAAACCTCTCATGTAAGGATATTTGCTTCTCAGCTCTTCAAAATGCACACAGTCTACAGCGGTAGTTCAAGTCCGTCCATGATTTGAACTTTGTGTAGGGTAAACTGCTTGCCTGTGGTAACTCCAGAAATATTCAGCTGAATTTGCTGAGATTATTCTCCGACACGCTTGACCCTGTTAGTCCACTGCATACACAGTGGCGAAGTCGCTCTGCCAAAGACCGCTCCATTAAAGTGTAATCGAAACCACCATCCAGGAAAGCGAAGGTTTGAACCGATCGACCATTAGCGTGAAGAACTACAGGGACAATACGGATGAACGGAGAGTACGCCAGAAACCGGAGTCGAACCGTCTGCTTTGCCTCGCCTCGTGGATCGCCCGGATTGAGCAATCGGTGATGGCGTTGTTGACAACCGTTGACCCCGCAATTTGATGCTTTGCACGGCCATTTAACATGCGGATACAAGCAGCGTGTACACAGATGAACTTCTTGGGCCACCTTCCATTTGTCTTCCAACGTCTTCGACTTTCAACGGCTGTTTGATAAACCACACAGGACGTTCGCTTCCCGTTTGGACGGACGTCGAAGATTGACATCTGCTCCAAGGACCAATTTGTTGACTGGTGCCACTTAAACAAGCTCTCCCTCAGTATATTAAAATGTGTAGTCATGTCATTTCACCGCACAAAGACGCCAATCGAATTCGATTACTCAATTGATGGATTTGTACTCGAAAGAATAGAACAAGTAAGCGACCTCTAAGCTAACGTTTGACTTACATCGTTCAATGGTAGTCGCTAAGGCAAATCGTCAGCTTGGGTTCATAT